AAGAAAGAGAGAGAGAGAGAGAGAGAGAGAGAGAGAGAGAGAGAGAGAGAGCCACTGTTTTGAGAAAGAGACCGAGTAACTGAGAGACGGAAATGGCGAGACCGAGGGACTGATCGACTGAGATGGAGAGACTGAGCGACTAAGATGGAGAGATTGCAAGAGTGAACGACTGAGAAACTGAGATACTGAGAGACTGAGCGCGGCGTCTCTGCACACGTACGCACTTGTTTCTATACTCTGCCTCGTGGTCTGCGATGACAACGGTGGGAATGTTTGAGCTGTTACGCAGGAATCTTTGCGCGGATGCTGGAGGCAGGGGCTGCTTCAACGCTGGCTCCTGCGCCTTCAGGTTGACCTCCAGCGCGTGACCTCTCAGCAGTTCGACGAGCTCACTCACCTAGCGGGACACATGGTATTGTGAGTGAACCAGGCATACACGAACGCACGCACGCACACACGCACACACACACAGATGCACACACACGCACGCACGCACGCGCGCACGGCATCTGTGACAACACATGAGAAGTGACATCAGCCTGCGTATACGCATCATGTTATGTCATGCTGGTCTATGTTTAACTACTGACGCTTCCAGCAGGGCACACTGTGATACCACCAGCCTTGTGTCTTAGAACAAGAATACATATCAGCACCAGAGGCCGTAGCCAACGCGTTTTGCCAGTGGATGGCAAAGGTGCTGCCACCACCAAGGCCACAATTAAAAAAATCTTTGTTTGCCCTTAACCGACCCAGGCTGAAAAGTTTGGGTAGGTAGGTAGGCTTTTTTTGAGGGGGGGTCTTTTTAAAATTCAGCGTGGTGTCTACATGCTCAGGTGTGCTTGTGTGGAGATACCTTTTATGTTGAATGTTTGTTTTGCTCGGTACATATAATGTATTGCCTACAGATTTATATAATGTACAGTGACACAATTTGTAAAAAAAAAAAATGCTAAAGATCAATAAAATTTTGAGTCGGCCCCTTTTTGGCGGGTCGGTCGGGTGAAGGCAAACAAACAATATTTGTATCATGGCCGAACCCTCACCGTGCGATTGACCTCTGCGTTCTTCCTCATGCGAGGGTCGCTGTGCAGCCACAGCTCGCCTGCGTGGATGCGTGCGACCTGGCTGACCTCCACGATGTGAGAGATGTGTGTGAGGTTGATGAGAGCTGTCTGGCTGGCGAGGCGGTCGACTAGCGGCGACGGGAAGCGACCCGCCTCCATGTCGTGCACCATGCGGCTGGAGCCGATGTAGTCAAACGCCTCCTGTGAGGAAGGAGACAGCAGTGAGCTTCTTATATATATGTATGTATATATATATATATCTGTCTCTCTCTCTATCTCTCTCTCTTTCTCTTTCTTCTTCTTCTTCTT